TATTATTTAGTTACTTTTATTTAATGAATGGGTTACATAAACAAAAAACATAGTCAAAGGGTCATTTAAATAAAATACTGTTTTGACCGTCCCTCTTAAACAAACCTCCCCCCAAATAATATTAGCCAAAAAGAGACGACAACGCTAAAATTCCTTATGTAGAAAAAAAAAGTTCGAAAAATGCTGCAATAAAAACAGAACCTTCAAGCATATGTGCTCATCCCTGCAATAAACGGCACAATCACAACCATAGCTTCGCCGTCGTCAGCCGGCAACTGCTCTGCCGGTGATTGGCTGCTCAACAACCATATACAGCTGCTGAGGAACTCATTAATACACCCACAAGGTACGATAAATAGTGCCGTTCATTGGTTGCATATGCAGTGGTCTTGAGCATCACTGTTCACTCGATTGCCCTTTTTTACTCTTTTGTTTTCGAAAAGAAGTGTCGTTCTTTACAATTAAATTGTGGGTATTGTTCGTTCTTCGTAATCATTTGGTTACGATGTGGTATGAATCATTTTGCTGCGTTATTTCAAGTTCTTGAGCATTAAGTGTTCGATGAAATGCTTTAACTAAATTAGTGCTGCATTTTTCCTTTGTTACCAAGACTTCAACAGAGTTATTATATGGTATGGATTCAGTTTTGTTCTTTCTTCCTTTTTAATTCATTTGATTAATAAATGTTGTCTTGGTGTAGATGTCAGCCTACACAAATGATGCAAAATGAATCTTGTCAGCCCATGGTAGCTTGCACAACAAATGTTAATGTTGAGGAAAGTGAGCCGTTTGAATCAATTTTTGAATGTTTGTCTCGGTAGAATTTCCAAATGCCCATCCACCGCTGGTGGGGCCCACGCCCCTTATAACTTTCATGGACAGAATATTTCCCCCACATTTCGCCGCGAATACAGACATTCTTCCCACGATTTCACGCCTGTTGGGTCTGTTTTGGTCCAGGCCCGGGATACGGGTAAACTTCACGAGGATCTCGAGACTGCAATCAGTGAGCATAGACTCGAGGATGCGTGGGGTTTGCACGAGCAGCACATCCGCGTGGAAGGTTTTGCTAGAAAATCTGTTTTCTGCAAGCTGATTGCTAAATCAGCCGAGAGTTCGGATGTTAACTGGCTCGGAAGGGCTTATGCACTGGTCGAGAAAGCCATTGAGGAGCACAAGCAGACTTTATTCGATAAAGACACACTCGTCTATCTATCCCTGGGCCTCGCTAAATTTGGACTACCGATACCTGCATCAACTATTTTGAGAAAGCTCGTTGAAATGGAAGATTTCCCTCCCGTGGCAGCCTGGTCGGCAATAATAGCCCACATGTCAATAAACCCCCCCGGATCCTATTTAGCTGCCGAGCTGGTTCTCGAAATTGGTTACTTGTTCCAGGATGGGAGAGTCGATCCTCGGAAAAAGTGTAATGGGCCGTTGCTGTCTATGAAGCCCAGCCCAACCGCATTTAACATTGCTTTGGTGGGGTGCCTTCTGTATGGCACCACCCGGAAGGCCGAGCAGCTTCTTGATATGATACCTAGGATTAATATGAAACCTGATGCAGTAACACTAATAATAATGGCTCACATATTTGAAAGAAATGGCAGAAGGGACGAGCTGAAAAAGCTCAGGCGACATATTGAGGAGGTTCCAAGCATAAATGATACTCAGCTTCGACAGTTTTACGGTTGCTTGCTTTTATGTCACCTTAAATTTGGGGATTTAGAGTCTGCCTCTAGCATGGTTCTAGAAATGCTCCGTAAGGCGAAAAAGGCTAGGGATTCTCTTGGTGTGGCTAATTTAATTTTCGAGGCTGATAAAAGAGGTAGCACGCGTGCATCACATGCTCGGGATGTTTCGCTTAAGGATTCATGTGATACGAAACCCGATACACCAGTAAACGGGAGTGAGTTTTTATGTTATGAAGAGTTTTGCCGTGATAGAAAGTACTCCAGGCTCGAAGCTGAGACGAAGGCGATACTCGACAGCTTGGTGGAGAAACTACAGGGGCGAGTTGAGCTGGTCACTACTGAAAGAGGCATACTCAAGCCAACCGAGCAAGTGTACATGAAATTAGTCCGAGCTTTCTTGGAAACGGGAAAAATAAAGGATTTAGTCGAGTTTTTAACCGAGGCGGAGAAGGAAGACTCCCCTGTATCAGCCGATAGCTCGATTTTATTCCATGTAATCAACTCATGCATTTCCTTCAGCTGGTTGGATAAAGCGCACGATCTCCTAGACGAGATGCGCTTAGCTGGCATCCAAACCCCTCCATCCGTCTACAATTCCCTTCTCAAAGCGTACCACAGAGAAAATCGAGCAAACGAGATGAAATCCTTAATACGGGACGCCCGCAGGGCTGGCATCCAGCTGGACGCATCTTCGTACGAGTCTCTAATCGAGTCCCGTGTGCTCGAAAACGACACGGGTGGGGCCCTCAGCCTGTTCAAAGAGATGAAAGAAGCCAAAATAATACCCAGAGGCGGACCAAAAGACTCGAAAGAAGACCGTGTAATGTCGAAACTGCTTCAAGAGATCAAAGAAGGACACGGAGCAGACAACACAGCCGTACACGACTGGAACAACGTGATTCACTTTTTCTGCAAGAAAAGGCTGATGCAAGATGCCGAAAAGGCCTTGAAGAAGATGAGGAGTCTCGGCCATTCCCCTAATGCACAGACTTTCCACTCGATGGTGACGGGATATTCTGCAGTTGGCGGGAAATATGTGGAGGTGGCTGAATTATGGGGTGAGATGAAGTCTATTGCTTCAGCTAGTGGGATGAAGTTCGATGTGGAGCTTTTGGATGCTTTGCTTTACACGTTCGTGAGAGGAGGGTTCTTTGCTAGGGCAAATGAGGTGGCGGAGATGATGGAGAAAGGACAGATGTTTGTGGACAAGTACAAGTATCGAGCGCTTGTTTTGAAGTACCACAAGACGATGTATAAAGGAAAGGCGCCCAAGGTGCAGACAGAGTCCCAGTTGAGGAAGAGAGAAGCTGCTTTGGCTTTCAAGAGATGGGTGGGTTTGTGAAGAAGGTTTTTTTTTTTT